AATTTCCACTGATTGAAATGACAACCCATTTGTTCCTCCCTCACAGTGTATGAACGTTTCTGTACTGAGGTAATTTCAGACAAACAGTAGGGGGGAAATCAGGAATCTGCGGTAGAGTATTACCCAAGTTATAAAAGCAGTTTATTACTCTATTGTGTGTCTAAAATTTCTGGAATATTGTAGCAGATGTATTTTATAGAGAAATGACAACACATTTTAATGAAATCCAGGTTTAGATTCTGGCAACATTTCTTCCTTCATTTTATATTTTGTAACCAAGTCTACAACTCCACCAGGAAAAATCAATAGAATATTTAGCACACCTCACCATCTCATCTTAACGGGTATTTGTATAGAGAAGAAAATATCTCTATGTGACAGACCAGGAGCTACTTTTTCTTTACTTGAAACTGAAGTCTCTTTTCCTCTGCTGACAACTACAAGCTCCAGTTTGTTCAGATCTGCTCCAGGTGAAATTCAAGCAGTCATTACAATTTTTTGCTGGATCTCTTTTGCATAAGCTGTACTCTCTAGCTGATTTAGATTGTGAGCAGTTTTGCACTGGATCAGCCTGAAGTACTGTGGCTCTCCAGCTCCCTCCTCACACTGCTCAGGGGATGCAGGCAGGGTCACATGCTGCATCCTTCATCACTGCCCGCCCCCCCCCCCCCCTCCCATTGTGGGGAGCAGCACCCTAAGGAAAACAAGATAGATCATCACTGTTCCCAGCTGCTGTGCTCAGGCCCCTGGCAGAGCTCAGGAGCTGTGTGGACATCTTTCTAAATCCCTCACATGCCCAGGTGTCCAATATTAGCCTCAGCTGACTGCAGATAAATTGCGGAGTTTTTTGGGGTTTTTTTAACACTACTGTTCAATCCAGTGTATTTGCTTTATGAGAATATTTTTAACAGGAGTAAGCATATCTCACAAATTTTATTTCTTTCTCATGTGGATGCTGCAGGTTTCTGACTAACTGCTGTTGGTATCTAAAATGAAGAAATATGAGTGATAATGCTTATCTGCCTAATACATTATTCCTTGAATATTTTTTTTCTGAAACTGAATAAAAACCATCCTGAGAATACTCTTTTAGGAAACGCCTGATGTGGAATAGCAGAATGGCAGAATTATAACATTAGGCAACACCACAAACCACTTCCAGCTTTAATCAAGGTCTCACACTGGCAGGTATGAGGCAGCTTGTTTCCAAGGCACGGCGGTGGCTCTGCCTCGCGTACGCCGCCTGTGTGCCTGGAGCGAGCACAAACCTGCACAGCCTGACTGCTGCTGCTGTCACATTAGCAGTGAAACCATTCTGCAATACTGTAGAACAGTAAATCACCTCCAAAGCATTTTTATTAACTTTTGATCCTTCTGATGACTTTGCAGGAAAAAAAAAAGAGAAAAACATATATGTACTTTATATACAAATACAGATTCCTCCCAGGTAGCTAAGTCTTGGTGCTCCTGAATCAGGATGCTGCCTCAGGGGTCTCTGTAGGCTTTACACATCCAGTGCCAGAGTCCTTTTCTACATCACAGCCCCACCAGTCTGTCCTGCACTGACTCATTCACTTGCTGCCTCACAGGCAGGTTGAAGAGGACCACAGAAGCCCAAGAGTTACAGTGCATTTTGTGAGCCCAAACCATCTAAATTCAACACAGGGAACATAAACTGAAGTTTATATGAAAACAGTGTAATTGTCTAGCAGCACTAGTGCTGCTAGAAGCACTAGGCTTCTTGAAATTCACACTAACTTTGGTACAAAACACAGGAAATTAAAACATTGTAGTCAAATCTACTGCACACGGAGCATTCTGAACATAAAAACACACCCATGATATCACCATGAGACAAAATGTAGGAAATACCATTGATTGCATTTGCAAAGAAGTTGTGCTTGTGCTCTTCCTCCACCAGTTAAAGGTGGTTTGCAGTAGAAGCTCCATCAAATTTGACACTTTGCTCTCTCAATTGATTGTAAAAATGTTTGAAAGTTGATTGTGCTGTTGCCAGAATAGGGTAGTTGAACTTTCCACAATCAAGATGAAGACCAAGTCCTCTATCAAACAGGCTTTATGGGATACACATGCAACCAAGAAAAATTAAGGAGCTGTATGTAGTCCTGGTTAGAAAGAACTCAGAACACAGCCAGTAAGCCAGAAGTCCTGGGAGCCTTGGGAACCTGGAAGCAGTATGCTGCTGAGGCTAACTCAGCTTCCTTGAACTCAGATTTTATACACCCATGGCTCTGAAATGTGTGGAGTTCTTTATTCTGGTCATGCTATAATTTTTCTAGTGTCTGGGAGGTTTGCCTCCATGGCTGATATCCCAGGCTCAGCTACACCATTACTTCCTGTACTTTCCCAAGGACATTTGTTATTTGCTACAATCCTTCCATTCTGCCTAGAAAGTTTTAAGCTACCCCATACCAACTGCTCCTTTTGTTTTTCCCTTTCAGTCACAAGGTCCAGTAAATGTTTTGTAGGCCAATGGGCTCCTTGACCCACAGTGCTCCTCTCTAAAAGGCTGTAGCAGCTTTGCCCAGTCCCATGTGCTAATGGCACCAAGTCCCTGTCTCATTCATGCCTGTCTCAGATGCCCCAACAAACAACTCACAGTTTGCTATTTAAATAACCACTTCCTTAAGAACATGTGTTAACAATACATGAAGGGGCGATTCACGCTTCCAAACCACTTGTCTCCTGCTCTACAGGCATTCACAGCTGGAAAAGTTCTAGTCATATTTTGGGTCTTTTCACAACAAAGGCTGGAGACTTGCTCCTGTGCAGTCTTACCCTGCCTCACTACCTCGGCGAGGATCTTTCATTTTCCTTACATTGTACCTTATATATATATATATATATATATATATATATATATATATATGTATATACATATATATATATATACACATGTTTGCATGTACAGACATTTTTTGCATAGCACACAGTGTCCCTGAACAAGCAGAGGAGACCTCTTGCCCCCCAAAACCTAAGGATAAATGAAGGGAGGGTGAAGCAATCAACCATCCCACTACCACTGAAGGGACATGCCCTGCTCCAGTCCCATTCTCTCCCTCTGCCTCCAAGTTGCTCCTGGACATGCACTTCCACTCGCCTTGCACCAGGTCTAGCAATGGTGGAATCAGTTTAGAAGGCGTCAAGTGAAATTAACTGACAGAGAACCAGCCCACACTAGACAGTTTTCTCTTAAATTGGGGAACTTAGCTTGGATTTGGAAGCATCTAGTGAGAGTCATGCCTGGCAGAAGGGAGGGAAAAACCTGTCATGTGACTAAGGACAAGCAGTGGGAGCGAAATCCCTCTCCTCTGGCAAAAGCAAGCAAAGGACCAACTCCAGTACCTCTGAGACCTCAGCCTAAACCTGTGGGAACCCCGTTTATGGTGTTATGCCTTGTTTAACCACACAGCCCCATCCCGAGTAAAACCCACACCCTGCAGCCACATCCAGTGCATTTGCATTTCCAAATAACTTTCAACCTTTGCTTCCAAACACGTGACAAAAGAATCTAAGATTTTAGACTTAAAATAAAATGTGTTCATGCATAATAAATTAATGCTTTAATTTACTTAAAACTTAGGCCCACTAGTGTCATTTTTCACACAAATAATGTACTCCAAAAGTTCTAGCAGAAGGAACTACTTAGATTTGTGCTTTATTTGTTACAGCTGTTCCCTTACAATACTTGACATAAATTCCTTTGTTTCAGAAATGCTAGTTCACACACTGAGCCCAAAGTGCATATTATCATGGCAGAGATAATTAATTTTAGCAGAGTAATAGACTGAATTGTTGCCTGGGAAATCAAATTCCACAAATGGTAGTAAGGCTGACTCATTGCCTATGGTAACAAAATGATGATATGCTGTAACTTAATGTAGATTAAAAACTGTACAGCACTATCCAGACTACTACAAAAGGAAGTTAATAAAAATGCTGGGTAAACTGTAGAACATTCCTGACTCTCTTATGTTGTATTTGGTGAGCCATAAATCAACATTTTAAACCAAGTACTGTTGATAATATTAGAGTGAAATGCAAGAGCTTTTTTTTTTTTGTAGTATGGACTCATAACCCTTTTTCTTCTTTATAATATAGACATAAACATAATATGTGAATACACTTTTATAATATTTATCTCCCTGTTCACAGAGACGCTTGCAGAGACAGGAATACCTGGCAGGTGGGAGCAAGGACTGACAGCCAGACTTCTCAGCCATGCCCCACCACAGAACCAGAGGCAAAGGGCACACACTGACATAAGAAGTGATTTTCTCTTTTTTTTTAACTGCAAAGGCAACTGCGCACTGGAGCAGGTTGCCCAGAGATCTCCATCCTTGGGCATACTCAGAACCCACGCAGCCCCTGCTGATCCTGCTTTGAGCCGGGCTTTGGAATGGGCAGCCTTCCCCAGAGCTCCCTTCCAGCCTCAGCAAATGTTTGAGTCCCTGATAAATGATTATTTTGGACCTGCAAGCACGCTTCCGCTTCTGCTTAGTTTTACAGAGAAACTTTGTTTTACTCTCAACATGAGAAATAAATTCAGAAGAAACAATCCAAGTGTAAATTCTGTGAAAGCAACTGAGCCCCTTCTGCACCTACCGCTATGAGTAACAAGCAACTCTCGACATTTTAAAAAAACTATCACAAAACCACTATTTTGTATTCTTTTATAGATATTATATATTCCTGCTTGTTTTGTAAGACACAAACCACAGACTCAATTTTAACCTAATGAAAGATTCCACTTGTGAGGAAAAAAAAATAAAGTAAACGGGAAGCGTATGCATTTGACCTTTCCCTAAATGTAATATTAAGGGAAGATAGATTCTAAATAGATTTCCCGCTAGTTTATTTCACCCTGCTGCTACTTCCAGCGGCGGGCTGCGCAGTTTGTCCCTCCGGCCGACCCGCGGCTCCCTGAGGGCAGGGCGGCGCCTGGCGCCTCACACCTGGGGGAGGAGCCCCGCCGGGGCCGCCCCCGCCCCTGCTCTCGCGAGATGGGCGGCGCGCGGGGCGACATCCGGGAGCGGCGCGGCAAGATGGCGGTGGAGTCGCGGGTGACGCAGGAGGAGATCAAGAAGGAGCCGGAGAAGCCGATCGACCGCGAGAAGGTGTCCGGAGTGCGGGGTGCTGGTGCCGCGCCGCTTCACCGGCCTCACCAGGGCAGACAGCGGGGGTGGGGGGAGTGGCGAGCGCCTAGTGTCGGCGTGAGGCCTCCGCGGAGGTGGGGGGGAGGGCGTGGCAAACGGCCCCTCATCCTGATCCCGTTCCCTCATCCTGATCCCCTCCCCTGCGGCTCCTCCCTCCCATCCCCACGCTCATTCTCACTCCCGCCTCGCCCCGCAGACATGCCCGCTGCTGCTGCGCGTCTTCACCACCAACAATGGGCGGCACCACCGCATGGACGAGTTCTCCCGCGGCAACGTGCCCTCCAGCGAGCTGCAGATCTACACCTGGTGAGTGACAGCGCCTCTACGGCTGGCCCAGCCGCGGGGCCTCGCCTGGGCCCCCGGGGCCAGAGGGAGTTATGCCGGCTCCGGTCGGAAAACTCCGGGGAGTTTCGCCGCCGCCGGTGTGGAGCGGTTCTGGCTGTGCCCTGGCAGCTGAGAGGGGGCATCTCCCGAAGCACAGCTTTGTGCAGCGGTGAGCGCTCAGCCGCCCAGACTAAGTGCGGCTCAAGTGCCCAATTACTGCTGCATGTAATCGGTGGCTTGTGCTGTGGCGATGGTTATCGCAACACATCTACTCAATGCAGAGGTTCTCCTTTAATGCGTATGTATTGTTCCAACAGCCCCGTTTTTCCGGTAGAAGCAGCTGTCCCAGAAGGCTTGAAATGTTGTGTGAATAGTTTGTTGGTTTAACTCAGACCCTTTTGAGAGTGGAGTAATGAGTTTTCTTTTTGCATGGTAAGGTAGCAGTGCTTTAACAGAGAGCTGCTTTTTATCACTGTCAGATTTATTTTGGAGAACTGCCTTAGTCTCCACTGCAAACATGTTAGGTTTTGTTTGTAATATTTTGAAGAACACCTTTGAAAAGGAATTATGCTGCTTTTTAAACCCTACATGATGTTTGCCAGAGTTTTAACTCATACGTTGTGTAGTTGAATAAATCCATTTTTGTGGCTACCAAAGCATACAGTTCTAATTTACTTCTAAGTTGGATTTATGGACTCTGTCCAGGCTGTTGGTGGTGTCTGAGTTGTTTCCCATCTGTAGAAGTCAGAATGGGCATTGTCTGTCAACACACTGCTCTTTGATTGCCTGAAGCTCGGAGCGAGTGCACAGTCTGTATAATTGGAGACACTTCTCTTGCAGTGACTGAGAACTTTTGTTCTTGAAATTCTAGACATGAGCTTTAGCCCTGCTCTGGTTGAAGGCTGGGTAAAGGAGTGCTGCCTGCTAGGGCAGAAACGGAAAGCTATTTTATTTTTCTGCTTTTCTTACATTTCCTCTAATAGTTAGTAATGTTACTTTAATACAGATGTCAGCTTAGGTGAGGAAACTCTTACACTGTGGCTTGTATGAATGTGTTAAAAAAAAAAGGCTCCTGCTGTTTAAATAGTAACTCTTCAGAGAGATCTGGAGATCAGATGTTGAAATGTATACAGAGATGAAGAGATTCATCTGAATATCACAGAGAATCAGACACATTTGCACTAGAGCATGTTGCCTCCAGTGTGTAGTAAGTGGTGAATTCTCCCAGGTGTTACAGTCAATAACTGTGGACATAGGATATGCCAAGGCAAAGAAACATGGTTAGGTTGTAGCAATATGTCGATTCTATGTTAAATATTTTGGGAAGCTTTATTTTCTGTTCCTTTGAGAGTATGAAGCACTTTAGTTTCTTTGTTTAATCTAGGATGGATGCAACTCTGAAAGAGCTGACCAGCTTGGTGAAAGAAGTTTACCCAGAAGCACGGAAGAAGGGCACACATTTCAACTTTGCAATTGTTTTTACAGATCTCAAGAGGCCTGGCTATAGGTAAATGGCATTTCTTCTCTGAGTTAATAGAATACTTTGGGCACCAGAACAGTAAATTATCCTTCATTAACACTGATTTAAAGTTCAGAACCTGCATACCAAACTTCTGAAGTTCTCTAGGATGACTGCTACAACCTCTTAGTTGTGCTTGGTGACCATCCCTGTTAACGTGTTCCCAAGACTATGAGCCTGTGTGCTTGAAGGCTTTGGTTTGTATTGGCAGCTGGAACATGGCCCTCCAACTTGAGATAATGCTTTGTTCCTGGTAGGTCCTGGTAGGCACCTGAGTTACAGCAGTGATCTTGTAGCAGGTGTTTCTCTTCCAGAATGGCATGAGCTAATCTTTGTCAGCAGCCAGTAGATGTACCCTGCTTTGGAATCTGGTGGGGTTTTGTGCTTTGTCTGTATGGCAGGGGGTAAGGGTTTCTCACTAGTATTTAACATAAGAGGGTAGAAGGCTCCTCTGTGCTGTCAGACAGAGCATTTGGTGCACCCAGGATTGCAGAGAAAAACCCCAGTGTTCTGAGTACACAGCCACGTTTGTGCAGTGCAGGGAATGGCATGGGAAGGGAGTTAGGAGCCAGTGCAGTTCCTGTTTTGGACATCTGGAGAGATTGGCCACTGATAACTAACTTGCCTTTCCTTTGCTACTCACAGGGTGAAGGAGATCGGCAGCACCATGTCGGGCAGGAAGGGCACAGATGATTCCATGACATTGCAGTCTCAGAAATTCCAGATAGGAGACTACTTGGATATAGCAATTACTCCTCCGAATCGTGCACCACCCCCATCAAGCCGCATGAGACCTTACTAAAGTCTTGCTTCTCTTTGTATGATTATATATTCTGTTTACTCCTACTTGCTGTTCTAAAGCAGGCTTATTTTTTGCTTTTGTTGCTAAGCACCTGAAGACATAGCTGAGCTTTGTAGAAGAAATTTAACTTTTAAACATTAACTTTTAGTTTGTTTAGAAGAAACCCCTTCAGCAGTGCCATCATCCTATCCCTGATTGTTATAGTTTGAGTAGTAAATTAGTGTGTCTAGTGTTCTAAAGACTTCCATGAAATATGACCAGGAGGATTACAGGTGTTCTGAAGTTCTGTCTTGTTTGGAATAAAAATTGATGTTAATCCTTTGACTATTTAGTGGTGTATCAATGCTCAAGGCTGCTCTGTGTTAGAAGTTACTAATGGTGCTGGGAAGTGTTGAGCAGTCTAGAATCTGAAAATAGAGGAAGGGGTGGCTCAGGTCTTAGTTGTCCATGAGGCAGCTGGAAGATTGCTGTGTGGTGTTGCCTGGTACCTTAAAGAGCAGGATGAAGAAGGGGTGACCTGTGTCTCAGCAAAGTGGTGCTTGGTGCTTGCCAGCTTGACTCCCTCTGTCAGTGCAGGGGGAGAGGCTGAGATGTGCAGGTGCCTCTGGTCTTCCAGCAGGGTCCAGCTGTCCTTGCCTGACTGGGACCATCCACCTGGTCTGGGCAGGACCAGGTGCTTGGTTTCCACACCTTGAGCCCCTGTGTGCTAAGAGCAAGGCAAGGGCAGGAGTAGAAGCAGTAACTCATTAGAATCTCCACCTTCCTTGCCTAAGGCCTGAGCAGAGGCTAGGACTGCAGTAAATGTTCCTGTCTGCTGAGGACAAGGTGTGCTTTGTGTCATGAACTGGGATCTATATAGCTTTGTTTTTTTTTCCCTCTCAGGAGTCCCTTGGTTCAGTATAGCCTGAGGGAGTTCTGCCCTTGGCTTAACCCTCTTCTGTCCCCCTTCTCTGCATTCTATGTTAGGGAGCTGCAATTTCAGCCTTCATGAATGTCTCTCATTCGCAGAGTCACCTACATCTGAGTCACTTCTCCCCTAAGACTGTAAAGTGCTCCCCACCTTTTTTTAAAGAGAGCTCAAGAAAAGACACTTATAAATGCTGCTTATTAAGGACTGAGCCTGGAAGTGGCAGTGGAACTGATTTATTATTGCCAGAGTTGGCATGGGCAGGATGTTTTTTTGTGGTGCAGTCACCTCTGGTGTGAGGCAGTGGTGCTCCAAATACTGATGTGAGAAACCCTCGTGTTAGAACAGCTCAGGGACTTGTGTTACCAGGGACAAGCTTGCTCATGTTTGGGACACTTGACAGACCTGGACATAGAAAAGCAAAGGCCACTGCTAAGTGGCTCAGGGGCTACCCAGGGCATCATTTGTCCTGCAAAATGCATGCGGTGAGTAACCAGCATATAATTACAGAATTGCAAAGCTCCCACCAAAGGGAAGGACAGACCTGCCATTAGAGGTACACAGGAATATGGGCATTTCCTCAGTTTTGTGTCCTGGTTTTTGCTTAATTGCATTTAAGGATAATTCTTAAATGTAGTCACTATAAAAGGCAACAGCAGCAACGGAGCCTGTGTCTGTGACTCAGCTGCTCTGGGAAGCGACTTGACTTTGCTGCTGGAATGGGAGACATGGCCAGGGAATGCTGGTTCCTGCCCAGCTGGCAGAGAAAAAGAACATCTACTGGCTTTCTATGTGGTGGCCCATGAAGCAAAATCGCCAGGAAATGAAAGTGCAGAACTGCCTTCAGTAGCAAATACTCCATTCAGCTTGTTTGGCTGAGGAGTTTACCTTTCCTTGACTGCCATGAATGTATAAATGTCAGCTGATCTCTTCCCCAGCTGTTTCAGGATAAACATCTCTTGGATCTCTTGCTCACAAAACACAGGAAGGTAATGTGGACATGCAGAGCTTATTATTATGGGAAAAGACACTTGAGAGAAGAATGTTGTTCAGGTTAGGGGTTTCCTATATCAATATATATCAGCTGGCAATCCAAGCTGATGGCAGCAGCTGTAGAAGCAGACAGCGCCAGCGTACAACCATCCAGATGTGGCAAGAGATGAAAGGGAAGTGAAAGCTGTCACCAGCTGAGCTCCTTGTGCACAGCAGGGGATTCAGTCCCAGTAACTGGTTGAGTTTGTCTCTGAATGCTGCTATAAAAGTTGAGGAGGGATATCAGTCCCTAAAGAGAGGAAAAAATATGGAGAGCACTGTGGCTTGGGGAAATTGAAACATGGTCATCATCAGTGAACAGTCCGTAGGCTCAGGAAGTGGTGTAGACAGCATTGCATCCAAATTTGTCAATCCAGAGGATTTGCTCTGTAGGCAGTAATTTGATGAGGAATTTTTGCCCCTCATGAAGGCAGCTGGATAAGGTGCTTTTCCTTTTTTTTTTTTTGGATCCTCAAAGGCCTAAGAGACACAGCTTTGTTATATATATCTAGTGTCAATCACAACCACTCCTCCAAAGCTTTTTGTCTCCCAGCTGAGTAAGGGCAAGAACTAGGATGACAGCTCTCCAGAAAAGGTTTCCTGACTTTGACACTTCTCAGAGGTAATCCCTTCCCTGCCCAGCAGCCCAGACAACTCTTGCCTCCTGCCCATGCCCTGCCAGGAATACCACACCTATCCCCACCTCCCTTGCAGGTGTCTCTCCAGGCCTCCCCTTCTCCCTGTCCTTTCTGAGGGCTGTTTTTCTTTGCCTCTAACCAGGGACAAACATCCAGATCGTTCCTGCAGGTCTCCAGCCTGTGCTCCCTGGCCTCTGGCTGCAGCAGCAAGCCTGGTGAGCTGTGCTCCCTGGCAGGGCCAGAAGCATTCCACATCTTGCCTGTGGGGTGCAGCACAGTCATATAGACCCAGCCACAGAACCAGGGTAACTTCCCTTAATTTCTTTTTTACCCTCAGTACCACCTACTGAAGGCTGCTCTGCTCCTAGAGATGGGACTTCTTCCTCTTCTGTGTCCCTTCTGGTGTGTCTTTCCTGCCTGTCTAGGTTTGGCTTGTCATGAAGGACTCTCTGCTGTGCTTCCCCAAACAAACTTGGCTCTTAGTTCTAATTTCCCCCCCTCATTCTGTGCACCGAAACCAATGCTTTTTTTCAATCTTATAAACAGAAAAGAAGGTATATCAAAAATACTACTTTTTTTCCTCACCGAGAATTCCCACACCATCAACCTTGTCACACCTTACATAAATATTGATGCAATTGTTGATCATTAGCCAGGCTTTCAGTTAACAGGGGGAGGAAAAAAGATTCTTTTCCACATGCTCAGGCCTTAATTAAGTTTTCACAGTCACCTTCTGATTTCATCACCCCTCCAGTGCTGGCAAATACAAGTGTGTATACACACATATGTATGTACATCCACAAACAGGTACTACAGCATCAGAAAGCCAGCTCCTTTCCTGTAGTGGCAGCACAAGCCTGATTTAACTTCTGCAACACTTTTGGGAGAGGTCCTGGTGTGGAAGTTAATTCCCTCAATTTAAAGAGTGAGGACAACTCACACACTTTTTCAATAACCTGGGCAGCACCAGACATAGTCCTCCCTCTGTGTTTGCTATCTGACTGGAGCAGTTGTGGAGAATTAAATTTTACTGTACAGCTCTGCTCAAAAGCAGACACACTGGGATGCAGCAGGAACATATTAAGCATTATCAGCAAGTTCTCACTTTTGCAATGGAAAGCAGGAAAAATGTGGAGGTCTCCGAAATCCTGTTGTGTCAGAGCAGGTAAATGATGAGAGCTAGGGTAGTATTCAAAGAACAGCACTATAAGTAATGCAACAGATAAGGTTCAACCTGCTAAAACCAAAACAATCCAATCATCTGCCGCTGTCTAAGGCCTCGTGTCTGGACTTTGTGCAACTCAGATGGGTTGAAAACAAGAGTATCAGTTCCCCTTGAGGAATATGCCTTGCAAAACACCCATGTGGTGTTGTGCACCTGGCCACAAACACCTGTCGGTGGTGAGGGGGTGCCTGGCTGGCACACTGGGGCAAGGTCTTAACTGCCTAAGGGCTGGCTTCGGAGGGCCTGGGGTGTTTGAGACCCTCTGGGGGGTATTTCCAGTCTCACAATTATGGAGGAACAGCCTTAGGCAACCTTACCAAAGCAGCCGGACAGACAGGATAGGATTCATCCAGCCAGGGAAGGAGGACATCCTGGCTCCCACGCCTGTCCTTTCCCTTCTCATGCCTCAACAACCATCAATGCCTTTGCAGGCAGGCAGTGATTTGGGTCAATGCACAGTCCCTGAACAATTTAATCCTGGAAAACAGTAATTAGCTCCTGGTGGTTGGGCAAGCAGGAATGGATTTCCCTGCAGTCACAACTGCTGTGATGCAACCGACAACCTATGGTGTGGGACCTGCAGCTGGGGGAGGAAAGGTGGGAACATGCAGAAGGCTCTAGATTGGTTTACAATAATTTCATAAGCAATCATTAGAGAATGTAACCCCAGGCTTTAAGCCAAGAATACAATATGCTAAAAATTATGGAAGCATCTGAACACGTTCCTGTTGGGTATTCTGCAAACTATGCTTTCCTTGGCCCCTCCTCAGGATAAATGCCTGTGTGGCAGAGGATCTTATTCCATGGACCATTTCCCATGCAGACACATTTGTGCTACTTTTTTTTAAAACTCTTCAACTTGATTTAGGCAAGACAGGTTCAAAGAAATTCCTGGATGTGGTCAGCTCCTGCTATGATGTCAACTGCCCCTTTGTAAAAGTAGGTATTAGTGTAAGAGAAGCATAAGGTTTTACATTTAAATTGATATAGGCAGCATGAGCCAATGTCTTCCTGGCAGAAAATTGTGCTCCTTTGGACTAACACACACGTGATTCCATAGTGTGGCCACTGGATATTGTCTTTGCTCCTTATAAACACCACAAGATCTGTATTATTGTCCCATGGGGAACAACAAGGTACTCCCAAAACAGAAGGGAGATCCAACACCAGCTACAGCTGTTGATGGAGCACATGCAACCACCATGAGTGCTGGAATATTTGAATATTTGTTCTCAGTGACAACTGAGAACAAAGCAAATGCGACATTTTACAGGAAATTTAAAGAAGCCAGGGTACTTCAAAAAAACAAGGAAGCCTGGACTCCAATTATTGTTCCAGTGGTTAATAAAATCTTCAATAAAAGCACAATGGGAATCACTAGAAGTAATCCTTGTCATTTATCCCTTTGACAACCATCTGGGAAGTTTCATTTCACTGAAAGACCTATAATTGTGTTCAATCTCAGGCAAAGTATTTCCCAGATAAGAAAGCACTGACCACCTTATTAAGGGGCTTCCTGGGCAGAACAGTTGAGATGCTCCTTTGACAACAAATGGGATTAGGGGGAGAAGCTTCTGTTAGCTGACACATTTGATATACTTTAAAAAAAAAGAAAAAGAAAAAATACTAAGAACCAGAGCAAATGAAGGAAAAGGCTATGGTTTTTTTGTTACTTCCCAGATGTTTTTGAATACTGAAGAGCAATTTTGTGCTGGGTTCAATCTTTTCTGAGAGCAGGCACTGCTAGGAGATGTGATCTCCCTTCTCAGCCTTCCCTTACATCTGATCCAGCACTCACATGGGCAAAAGGCAAAAGCTGAGCTTGAGATTACTGTTGGGAAGGACAAACAAGATGAGAAGACAAAAATAATTAGCCTTTCTGTGTCTTGGCAAATGAAGAAATCTATTGTAAAACTGTACAACCCCTAAATTCTGTGCAAGGGAATTGGTGAAACAGCCTCTAGTGGAAGCAGCCCCCAATTAAACTAAATAAAGCACAACACAAAACTGTACTCTGGCAACTTTGCTTGTTTCAGGTGATGGCTGTCTCTTAAGAACCACTGTTTGCTACTTACATAGCTACTGTTTATCCAACCTTACAGGCCAATGCTGTTAAAGAGATTCACCCCACAACAAACCAACTTGTAAAATTTCTTTTGCATCATTCCCACTTTGACAGGTTTCTAACTTTACAGTGCAGCTGGATGAGCCTTTCTCCAGCAGCAACACTGGCCTAAGAGGAGTTTTACCCTCCTCCGGCCCCATGGCTGCATCCTTGGTTGTTCCAGTATATCAGACAGCCACACACCCACCTGTCCCACTCTCCATGCTACAGCAGGATTGCATCCAGGTGGGTTTTCACTGTTTCCACAGAAGGAGACTCCACTGCCTCTAAGCAGCCTGTTCCAGTGCTTACACTTTCACTGCTGTCATTCCCCATTACCCAAACTACTGTTTAGGACATCCTGAAACCTAAAAGTTTCAAAGGTGAAGTACAAAAAACTAAAATTAGTTTTTGTTTTGCTGCCATGATTTTATCTATCTCAGAGCCATACTTTACCTATAAAAAAGAATACAAATACAAACAACAATATTACATGTATCGGAGTAATACTGAAGGCAAGAAAAACAAAACTGATGCATATGACTTCATTTCTTGATTCCAAAAAGTCTCATCCCTGTATCATGTCACAACAGCTTGAGTAGACTAGAAGACTCTAAGATTTCAATTGTTATATTGAAGATAATTATTAGTTAATAATGTGTAGCAGAAAATTTTAACAGACAAGCAAAATTATGCAAGTGACTTGCAGTGAGAAACCCAGCACTGCAAGGTACAGCTCCATGCTTCCCTAATGGAGGAAAGCACAGTGGAGTGCTGAGTTGTTCTCAAGTTCAGGGAAAAGACTTCTCTAAGCCCTTTTGTGAATTTCATTAGCTGAAGGCAGGGGGAATACAGCAAGGTCTGTAGTAGTGCTGCTTGTTCCATTTCATGTCAAAAGGCTATCTGGCTTGCTGCAGGGCAAGAAAGAGACTGCAGGCTGTGAAATCCCTCCTGTTTAGTGTGGGTAAATCTGTCTGGTTGAAACCTACTTGTTCTGCAGCAAGAATACTTTGTACCTTACCAAAGCCATGAAATTCCAGGACCAGCATTCACCCCACTATTTTTTTAATCTATGAAAAAGCTGGAAGCAGGTGTGGCCTTCAATCTTGGAGGAAGATGGGTAGAACAAATAAGTGTTCTTATAGCAGACACCAAGCATTTGAGACAGATTTATTTAGTATCCAAAAGTGTTAATTAAGCTCACAGACTGACACATTAATATATACATAATTTTAAACAGAAACTACTAGCATTTTCAATGACAGGGTGCTCAGGTCAGAACTAGTAGAAAATCACTGTCTCCCATTAATTTGGTATACATTTATCCTGGAAAATGGCTGTAATAGCAAGGAAAAGGCATCTTTACTTGTAAAGTTTTAACCAGGACAAGTCTAAACAAATGAAGAAATACTTGTGGGCTTCTCTAGACATTTGCATATCTTGAAGACTTAAAAAAAATGTGGAGCTGAGTTCAGAAAAACATCCACTTATCCCCATCTCCTGTGATAGTCTCTCCCTTCTCATGTGTTGCATGTTTGCCCTCACATAAATGACAGAATTTCAGTCATCAAATGGAAGACAAATAGTAAGAACAGTCCTGGAGTCACTTGGAGGAACAGCTGACACTGGAAACAGCAAACTGTCTCCAAACAAGGATATGGAGCTCAGTTTTCTGGTGGAAAACAATAAAAGTGCTGGTAGAAAAAAATTCTAATTACTATGACTACCAAAAGAGTTCCAAACAGCTCTGAGAACTTCAGCTTGGTCAGCTACTACAGGGTTAGATGTGCACATTTAGAAGTGACATCAGCACTGAAGAGAATACACACAGCAGCAGCAGGAGAGGAAGCAATCACCTACAGGCCTGCCACCAAATTCCTCCAAGCAGCTGAAGATACACATATCCAGTAACAATTGCACATTTTCAAATGATTCACAGTAGAGTGGAGTCACCTTCCAGAGCTACAAAGAAACCAGATGCATAGCACCTGATACTATGTTGATGCATAAAGAAAGAAGCTGCACGGGAAATGCCTGTCTGTCAGAGAGGTTAACAGTCAGTCTGATGCAGAGATGTGTCAGATACATCTTAGCACTGCAGAAAGGACTAAAAGCACAGAACTGCTTTAAACAGTAAAGCAGGAATTACTCTTCCAATACAAAACATATTTACTTGTTTCTGTTGAAGATACCAAATACTGTTGAAACACCAGACTTCAGCCCTGAAAGGATGCAGAGTCACTGGAACAGCCAGAGATATCCACTTTTGAAAACAATATACTGGACTTTCCTTTTATTACAATCTAACTGCACTCTCTACAGCCTACGGCAAATGCAATCCTACACAACAAACAACTGAAGCACCACCTTGTACATGGATCTCCATTCCTCTTTGAAGTGCAATATATTTACAACCCCTCAATACATTTTGCCAATAATGTCAATAGAGAATTAAGCACAAGCTGTTAGTTCAAACAAGTTTATCCACATAATGGATAAAGAATTGTTCTCATTAAAAAAGCCTGCTCTCGGTATGGCTCTTTCTTCCCACCAGTATTTTCTTTTGCTCTTTGAACTTGTCATGATTTAGTGATAAGATCCATGAATGTGAAAGTTTCAACATGGTCTTCAGTTTCATTTCAGATGTTTGTCTTGAAAACTCCACGATATCCTCTAAAAATATACCCAGACATGTTCATGAGCTTATTTTAATCATATTTTGAATTAGCAGAAGACAGAAATATTGAAAACTTGTCTTTTTTGTCTTGACAACAAAAAATGAAGGGTCAGCTAAAGTGAGATTACACCAATTGATTCCAACTCCCAAGTATAGTAAGATATCAACTTTTATCTGTGTCACTCTGGTTGTTGTTCCTTACCTGTGCCTTGTACCTCCTACTTAAATAATCTTTACAGACTCTAAGTTTAACAGATAATCAATAAGCATTATATTACATTGAATCAGGAATATGTATGCTTTGATAAAGTTGTGATAAAAACTTCTTTATATTCAAACTGATGGTATTCTTTATGAAACTATAACTCAGTTGTTCTAAGATTACTCATACATATTGTAGCTTTTCATTTAAAGTATTTTGTCTTTACCAAAACAAGTTTGAAATCAATTCTCATTTAGATACTTTTCACCAAATTCTTTTTGTTTTATTACCTAAATTTACCCAGAAAGCATTCACTGGTGCTTTCATTGCCACAAAGCAAAGTATACCTACAGATAAACCTACAGTAAAACTCTGCCTTTTTTTTTATTATTATTATTTAGGAGGATCCAAACACACCACCAGCTATAATATTTGTTCTTTACAAACAGGCAGTTATATGCCATGCCGAAGGCCCAGTTATTTAGTCAGAGAAACAAGAGCTGTTTTGATAGTCAAATAGCAAGCAACTATGTGAATTTCTAAGTGCATTAGTGCCCCTTTGTACCTCCTACAAATTAAATTACTTAACCAAATTTGTGAAGTGTAATCATACCTGTTCTCTTTGTTGCTGTAATCAGTGGAACCACTTTCATATCTTGTAGTATTTCCTGCCTTGGTCTCCATTTCCTTGGCTTTAGAAGAGTCTACCTTATGATTATATTGGGAAAGCATCTATAGGAAACATTAAACAGGAATAAAAAGAATTACCTAAGAACTCAAACCAGATAGATTATAGATAGAACTAGGCCGTTTTAATTCTAGTATTTTGATACTAAAATTTGTTAGGGGAAAAAAGCATAGTAGCTAACCTTTAGAACATTATCTGGTATCCTTGTTATTTCTGGAGGTGGAGGAGTATTGAGTAAATGGTCATAGTGTTCCAGTTTGGGCGGGGAAGGGTCCCCAGTATGTTTAAGATACCCATCAGAGCTTGCAGCAAAAGGAATTCTTTCTCCATTGTATGGTGCATCTTTTGCATCATTCTTTGTCACTGACTCAAGCTTTCCCCCTGGTGTTACCTGCTGCTGCAAAAGAAGTATTAAACACCTTCAGTTAATTTACTTATGTTAGGTAAAGTATTTAGTAAATGTTCTTACATAATTACTATTAGAAAGAACTTTTATAGTGACATATGAAAAAATAGTATTGGAAAAGAACCCAAACTGACATTTTAAAATCTGCTTATGGCAAAGTGTGTGAAAATATACATAATTGCTATTTACTACCTTAGCTTCTGCTTTTAGCCATCTTGTTTGAAAATCTGGACACTGTGGTGTTGCTGCATGACTGGGAAGGGGCAGTTCCTTTGTCTCTGGTGACCTTGATAATACTGTATTATTTGTTTTGGAAGAGTCCTTCACATCAGGAGTACAGAACACAAATACCATAGGAGAAGCCATCCAGTCAGCTGCTGCTATCAAGGGTGAGCGAAATAAAATTAAAAATATGTATGTACACACACACACATATATAATTACTACCAGTTCCAGTTTCATTTTCTAAAACATGTGTATCCTTTAGTTGATATTTTGCTTGATCCATCCAAATTACAGTATTCCTTAAAGGCAGGTAATGCAAAGTAGTCATTCTAGTCCCACTACAGAATATAACTGAAGAAGCCCAACTTAAATCAGCATTGCTTTACCTTCTCATTTACCCAATTGTCACTATGTTGGTCTCAAGATTTTTAAAATAACCTATTTCTCCTTTCAAAGAAGTTTTAGCATTAATTTTGACAGTCTTAAATTACTGTCTTGCTAGTCCCTTTCTTTCCTGTCTTTAAACACATCCAATAGGTATTCTCAGGACGAAAAAAAGCTAAGTTGGCAAACAGTATTTTTATTTCAAACATGGATAAGCTGCAGTTACAAAATTATTAATTCCTCTGCATAATTCTAATTGGATAGGAGTACAAGAATGAGAAACAATTTATAGGAAGTAAGAAACTTTCCCATAGAAGCCACCAACATTTTTGAGACATTACTACTCATACAATGACCTGCCTTGAATTAAACATATTTAATCAGAAAAACAATTAAAGTTAACCAATCTGTTTACAATACACTTGCACATGCATTCTGTAAAAATGCATATGTATATTAATTTAACAGATTCTTTACTTACCATTCTCAGCTCTCTTACTTGATTTTGATGAAGGAGTAACCATGATTTCTTTGATGGTCATTTCTGGCAAATTCCCTCCATTATCATCTCCTCTTTTAACAAACCTGAAAACCAAATCCCCAATTAGCTCTCAAGTACTATGAAGAAGTCACAATTAAAGGAATATTGCCAACCTAGCCACTTTTCTAGTATTCATTTATGAATAAGCAAGTAAAAATTTAGTTTTCTCAAATATGAATTTTTTACAGATTTTTTCATGTGTGAGTCTACTGCAATTTGTGGTATGCAAATATTCAGTCCAGCCACAAATGATCAAATATACTGAGATTTCAGTCTAAGGCATTAAGAAAAAACCAAACCTAAACCAGATGTCCAGGGTACAACAGATGCCACAGATGATCAAGTCTGTATTAGGGGTTTTATTTTGAACTGCCTGTTGACTATGAAATTATATTGAACAAGAGGAAATCTTTTCTGCTTTTAAACTAATAAGGTCTTGTAAACAGGAAAAGATTTTAAATTCAATTTTTATGTATAAATAAAATTGTTTATCTTAATCAAATACTATAGAGCTTTCAAGTAATTTTAGTAATTACATAACTATTTATAAGGAGAGATCCCCAAATTATTTTAAAATAAAATTTAGTGATTTCAAAGTGACAAGCTATTTAATATTGATTCCACAACACCGGAAACAGAAATTTTAAAAATTATTTTTTCGTATCCAAGATTTTCTAGTGAAAAAATCGCATATACAGTTAAGAGAATACTAGGCGAAAAGTGGAAACTTACCTAACCTACATACAAATCTGTGTCTTTAAAGAAAGTTATTTTAAATGTTTAAAAAGTAATCTTAACTATCATAACCAGATTTAGATCTTCTCTACAAAATGTCTAGGCTGCAAAACAACCCCACAAGCCCAGTAAACAGTATAGGCAGTATATTGTACTGAGATGAACACATCTTAAACTTTGGGTTAAATAAAAAAGTAACTTTTCAAGTCAGTTTTGTCTTTGAAGTCATAGAGGTAGTCGAAATCATATGATTTTTAATTTTTACAATGAGTAGAACCAGTAGAATTTTTAAAGTGGTTTTCATGCATATGATCCTTGTTTTCAAAACAATTTCTCCAAATATCAAATATTTAGGTAAATTTAAAATGGAACTCATTGTTAATAATAACTATAAAAACATGACCTATTAACTATGTGCATGACCTAACTGCTGCAATTATTTTCCTTTATAATTAGAACAGTAAAAATCTAGAGAAGTCTTTTCAACAGAAGACTGGAGCAAAAGGAATAAACTGTAAGGTGGGGCTTATGTTAGGGACAATACAGTGCTTCTAAAAATTTACTGAATGCTTTACAAACTGTTTTCTGTTTATATTAATAAAGCTTCTGCAACTTTTACACTGGCTGTGTAATATCTAGGGCAGACAAGCCCAGGCTGAAACCTTTGGTCACATACATTGTATTTTTCTCTTTGTAAATACATTGTGTATGGATGATTCTTATGGTGCACTCAAGGCAAGGAGCACAGCAGATGTATTTCATGTCAGCATCTGGCACTGCAATGGGTACGTGAAAAGATGTGTAGGGAGTTAAATGACACAGGACTCAGCACCTGAGAGATAACAATCACCCACCTCAAGACAAAAGAATGGCAACAGAAGCAAGAAATTAGTACAGCAAGAAGAAAATACAGAAGATTCAGTAGAGAAATAATCTGAATTCCAGCAACTTACTTTTTGATAGCCTGAGAAGTTTTCTGAATAAGTGACATGGTATAATCTTCATTCATACACATGGTGTGTTCACTAATGCCAAAGTGCTCAAGTTTCGGTGTCGCACACTCGTAGTCATCCATCTTCAGCTTACATTTTGGTGTTTTGGGCAAAGCCTGCGGTGTCTGCAGTCTCAGTGGAGTCTCACTCTTGGCCTTGAGCCGACGGGCACTCGAGGTGTGCTGCGCTTTCAGCGCGCTCCAGGGCCGGGAGAAGGCGTACTGCGATAGACCAAAGTCAGAGAGCTGCGGGTTGCGCAGCGGGTCTTTGGGCAACGCCGCCTTCTCTGCAGAAGCAGAGAACTGAGGCACAGCATTTGCTTTTTCTTCATCAGATTTATTCTGGGCAGACATTGCCGATTCACTGTTAGCTTCATCCTCCTCTTCTTTTTAAGAAAAGAAATGAAAAAAAAATTATGTCAGAAATTTTGACATTTCCCCAGTATTCAATTTTTTTTTACTTAAAATAGATTCCTTCTTTCACTTTAAAGTACTGAACCTGAAGCTACACTCATATGGCTAAGCTATATTTATAAGTCACACATTTACTGAGTTTCACTCTATTGGTAAATATTATTTTCAGGGAAAATGAAATTCAAAGATTCTACATAAATTTTTTTTTACTCCCTGCATGGAGATGAAAAGGTTTTTGGGGAAAGAGCAAAGGCTGCATACAGTACTAAAATGCTCATTCTTCAGAAAAACAGCATTGAGGAAAGGTTATGAAGCAGTAACTGAAAACTTGTGGAAGGGGACAGCTTTTTCGGTAACAATAGTTCACTGCAAAAATATGTAAATGCATAGTTTGTACATTTTTGGAGTTAGATAAAGCAAAACACCCCAAAATGTCTGTCAATTTCTGCATGACGTAGTAAGTAAAGGATAATGAATATGGTGAAGGGTCTGGAGCACAAGTGCTGTGAGGAGCAGCTGAGGGAGCTGGGGGTGTTCAGCCTGGAGAAAAGGAGGCTCAGGCTCTTCTGCCAGGTAACAAGGGATGGGACCAGAAGACACAGTCTTAAGTTGCAGCAGGGAAGATGCAGGTTGGACATTAGCAAGAATTTTTTCACGGAAAGGGTAATTAGACATTGGAATGACTTCCCAGGGAGGTGGTGGAGTCACTGGAGGTGTTTAAGGAAGGACTGGACATGGCACTCAGTGCCGTGGTCTGGTTGACTTGGTGGTGGTCAGCCACAGGTTGAACTTGATGATTCAGAGGTCTTTGCCAACTTAATTGATTCTCAGAGGTGGGTGGGGGAGGGAGGCCATTTACAGTAGTATACCTTCTGGTGTGCAGTGGTATTATCTCTTCAGATACACTTCGCTTAAAAACACAACTTAAAAAAATAATTTCACCTATAGCTCTCTTTGGAGACTTTAAAGGCAAAGAGTATAGAAGGAAAGGCACTAGAAAAAAAATCAGATCTTTCTGCCCTATCTATGTAAAACAGCTATAGGAGTTTACTTGGACATCCATATGGCTCACAACCATAATTTTGTTTTGTGTAATGACTGGATAATGCTCAGAGCAAGTTAAGACTATGTCAAAAGCTTTTTGAAACCTGATTGGGCCCTGGGTACCAAAAGGGGTATGTGCAGTATTGACAGGTGTAGTACTTTAACTCATTTGGCACAACTGGATTTTTCAGACGGTTCTATGTGCATTTTCTGACTGAATTAAGGACCTCCTTCCCCTCCAATGATCAAGGTGCTACTGCTTGTCACATGCCACCTAATTCCTGAGCATTCTTGTCCCATTTGTGCTGTGAAACAGGCACTTGAAGATTTTCTCTAGGATGATTTAAGTTAATGAAACCATCACATGTGAATACAAACCACCTGAGGTGCATCTACAGTAGTTCCTCATGCATGAGAAGCTGAAGCAGCAGAAGTCTCTGGGTCATCAAAACATGCTTGCTAACATGTTTTCTGAATATAATTATTACTGAAAAAAACCCAAAATGCAACATACACTAACCTAAAGGCATGCCAGAAGAGCTAATTCCAAGTGTTTGTGTTTTGGTTTATTCTCACAGCACCAATCCCAACAAAATCTACCCTCTAGCTATTATTATAAAGCAAATAACATGGGTGTACTTGATCTCCTAATTAGTAGAAATATACACATAGCTAAAGAGAAACATTTTATAAAAATGATACTTTTCTTCACATACTGTATTGACAAGAAACATTACCTGTAGAGTCTTTGACATGTGGTTTGTAGCCATATTTCTGGAACAGCTCTCTTATTTTTCCAAGATCTGCTGCATTTCTTTGCATCAAGATTTCACTTGCCTTCATAAATTCATTAACTGCTTTTTTTTCAGAGCAAATCTTACCAAGACTGGCACTAACATCTTCCTTTGGGGAGAGAGAGGGAAACATAGAAATACTGGCTTTCAAATCATCACATGATAGTTTACACATCAAGCATTTTAGGAGTAAGTATTCAATTGCAATTCAGATGAGGATAAGCAGTGAATTTAGGTCTTTTCTATACCTGAAAACCATCAGGTATATATACACCTACAGAATACCAGGAATATATAGAGCCCAAGTGTATGGAATCTTATAAAAGTAACTGTAATGACAGTTCACAGCATGATACCTGCTTACTGGTAACCTTGCCAAGGAATTATATGCTTTTACTCCAGAAAAATATGAGGTAACAGCAATTAGTCTGGACTCTTACTCCATATGTACAAAGAATAAGTGCAGAGAAGGTGGTTAATCTTACTTTTATATCACTCAATTATTTCTATATTGTTCATTTCTATAACCCATTTTTTCTACTTCTGTATAAGAAATAGACAACACTTTTCACAAGTTTAACTGAATGGCTGAAGGTACTGAAACTTCTGTGAAGATTGATTTTATTCTAAAGGCTGGTCATGGAAAACAAGCAAGCTTCTCTTGTGTTGCGATCTGCTGTTCCTGAATCATTCTCCTCATACCTTGGCACTGCTCCAACTTCCTTGTAACCTTTGTTCCCTGCTTACCTGAGTGACAGCAGTGACTGCAAACTAAGAAACATTGCTAAACCTACTTTGGGTCACCAAGTTTTTGGGCATTACCCAATATCCATGGCAATTAAGAGGACTTAGGTGTGAGTAAAAATAAGGGTTATAACTATTGACTAACAAAGCTGAATTGTGGCTTAATGACCAAAACAGAACCATAAGTTTATGGAACATGCACACACATGTAATTTCTCAAGAAGGAAGAAAGTTGTTACCTTCTGAGTCTTGATTTCGCCACAGAGGTCATGCAAGACTGTGAGTGGAGATTCATCTTCATAGTCTTCGAGATGAATGTTCACATAAAAGAGTTTAGAAAGTAAAAGAGGTGTCTTAGTGTTTTAGCATGAAAGGAACATTCTACATGGCAATTTCTTGCATTAGCAGATGAACTGTCAATGTGCACTCACTGACATTGAGCTTTGAATGGCCATGAGCTGTCAGTGTGCTCCCACAGCCCAGAGAGCCAAACGTGTCCTGGGCTGCATCCATGGTGGGCAGCAGGGCCAGGGAGGGGATTCTGCCCCTCTGCTCTGCTCAGAGCCCACCTGCAGGGCTGCACCAGCTCTGGGGCACCAGCACGGGGAGGACAGGACCTGTTGGAGTTGGTACAGAGGAGGGGCACTGGGATGATCAGAGGGATGGATCTCTCAGCCTTTCCTCTCCTGCAAGGAAAGGCCGAGAGAATTGGGATTGTTCAGCCTGAAAGAGAGGCTTCTTCAGGATGAACTAATTGCAGCCTTACAGTACCTGAAGGGAGCTCACAAGAAAGAGAAGGACTTTTTTTACAAAGGCATGTAGTGACAGGACAAGGGGGAATGGATTCAAACTAAGAGAGAGAAGATTTAGATTAGATATTTGGAGAAGTTCTTTGCTGTGAGAATGATGAGGCTCTGAAACAGGTTGCCCAGAGAAGCTGTGGATGCCCCATCTCCGGAAGTGTCCAAGCTCAGGTTGGATGGGGCTCTGAGCAACCTGGTCTAGTGGAAGGTGTCCCTGCCCATGGCAGGGGGCTGGAATTAGGTGATCTTTAAGGTCCATTCCAACTCAAACCATTCTGTGTTTCTATAATATTAGAGATGTTGGATTCATAACCTAGAGAGAGTCAATATAGACAAAACCAAAGAGAACTAGTTCCCGTCAGGCACTTCACAACACAAAAAACTGCTCTTTGTACAGCGTGTTAAACTCCACAGAGAAACTGCCCAGGCTTTCACCTTAATGTTGGCAGCTAATACTTGTATTAAAATTTTATCCCTAAAGAGGTTGGAATTCGGAAAAAAAGTGATATAGAGACCAGTGAAAAACAAATCTCAGCAGAAAATTGAATTCTTCAATTGTATTCGCACGTGGGCAGATGCATTGCTCACTTACACAATGCAGCAGACATTACTTTTTTTCACTGAAACCAAGGCTAATGCAAGTAGTGTAAAAGAGGGCACCCGCTACGTGACAAGACGTAGCACAGAGATAAACACAATTAGAAGCCTGAGTTATCTGTCCAGAGAGAGAACACGCCCTGCAAACGTTTTCCTATATCGATCTACTTAAAGAAGAAGAAAGAACGTGCTTCTTATTTCATCCCATTCACCTTGGTTTTCTCCGTGATAAAAACACTCAGCCACACACCCACAGAGGAGCTCAGAGAGACAACGAGACGAGGGAGCTCAAACAATTCCCAACCGAGCAATTCCCAGGCTGACCTCCAGGCCCACCACAGGCGCTCCCAGAGGAGCATGAGGGACTGTGGCAGGCGGGAACGCAAATCCCGCAAGGAGGAACAGCTGCGAGCCCCTCAGGCCCAGGCGTGCGGCCACGGCCGCGGGCTGCTCTTACCGGCGTCCTCCCGGCGCATGGCCCGCTCCAGCTGCTTCAACTCCCTCTCCACCGTGAGGGCCAGATCCCGCAGCTTGCCGAAGAAGCCCCCGGTTACGTCCATGGCTCCGGGCGGGGGAAGCGGGACCGGGGCGGCCCCGAGTGAAACGAAACCGAACCGAACCGGGCCGGGCTGGGCAGAGCCGCGCGCGCCGCTGAGGGGCTTCAAACTGCCGCCAGAGCGAGCCCCATTGGCTCCGCTGGGCCCCGCCCGCCGCCGCCGCCTCTCGCGAGAGCCGCGCTCCTCGCCCGCCGCCATCTTGGCTCCTCCGGGGGGCCGCCGCCGCCGGAGCTTCCCGGTGAGTGAGGCTGGGAGGGGAGCTGGGTACTCGGGCAGCCATGCTCCCACGGATCCCCGTGGCCTCTGTTAGCGGCAGCGCTGGTTTGTGCCGTGCTAGAAGCGCTTGGGTGACTGACTTGGTCACGGCTGACAGAGTTCATGGAGGGTTTGGACAACTCTGAGGTACATGGTGTGGTTCCTGGCGATGTCGGGGGCAGGGCCAGTTGGACTCGATGATCCTTGTGGGTCCCTTCCAACTCCGCGTATTCTGTGATTCCCTAAAGCTGATAAAATCCCGTGTAGCGTGAAACGTGGGCATTAGCGGGTGTGGGACTAATGAACAGTTTAACAAAGAGCATTTGTGTAAAGTTTGAACGTCATTCGGCGTTTCCTGCCCCTTACACCCAGCGTGTTGTGGCAGGGTCTATTGGTGCTTTCCGCTTACGCCCCTTGATCTAATTCAGGATATTGCTTCTCTCTACCAACCAGATTTCCCTCGGTCAGGATACGAGACTAGGTAATTACATACTAATAAGCTTACGGAGAGACTGTAGTCCAAAACCTCATGCTGAGGAAAGGCCAGACTTGGATCGAGAAGACAGAGCTGGAAATACTCTGTTTTGACAGCTATTTGAAGAAGGCCTGAGCGAAGTGAACCTTTCACTCTAGAGTATCTGTGACTGGATTTTTCTTAAATAATTTATGGAGGGTATGCTTTAATTGCAGTGTAAGAATAACTGAATAAATTCTTAAATTACATAGATTTTAATTCCCCTTTTCTGCTTCTGAAGTTTCCAGTGTATCTGGCCTTGTGCTGCCTGCTGTGTGTGATGGTTACCAGACTCTGAGCCTGAACCTTCAAACCAGCCAGCTACAAGGCAGTGGAGTGAGTGCAGAGCTTTTAATCTTTCTTGTCAAAGTTGTATTTTTCTCCCTAAGGTAATGAGTATTTATTTTATATTTCTTTTTATGTTTTAAGGCAAAATGTTTTTAACAACAGTATTACTGCGGAAGAGAATTCCTGGAAAACAATGGATTGGGAAGTACAGGCGACCAAGACAGGTTACCATTTCCATGAAGCAAGCAATGATCCGAAGGTTGGAAATTGAAGCAGAGAACGAGTATTGGCTCAGCCAACCTTACCTGACACAGGAACAGGAATACAAACACAACACGGAAGAGAGACGTGCCAAGTGGGAAGCTTTCAAAAGCCTGAAACAAGCCAAGTTTCCTGAGCACAGATACATCAGCGATCATTTAAACCACTTAAATGTGACAAAGAAGTGGACATGTTGAGTAACACAGCATGTTTATATTTGGCACATGTTGTGCACTACCCTGGGATCTGCTCTCATACCTGTTATGGTATTTCACTGTAATTAGCGTGGGTGACAAATAAGATGTTGCTGTGTGTACAAAATACTACATTAAAAGTAGTCCTCTGGAACAGCCTATGTTTTATTATTACTGCTTTGTTAGAGAAGTCCTTTGCATGCCTCTCTACTATCTGCCCACCCTCTGTTCTTCAGGGCTTAAACAGCAAGTTACCAGGTGCAGTGGTGGTGATTTATAGATAACCTAGTTTAGTTTCAGCTATCTATAACCTAGATAGCTTCAGTGATTGCCTTGTGAAAGCCTGGAGAACATTCCTGCTGTGTTGAAAGGGTACTGCTGGTACTGGCCACATGGCTTGGGCTGGTTACTCTCCCTTCCTCAGGGATTGTTCTGTGTACACCAGGTACTTGAGACACGACTATGACACTTGCCATCAGGTATGCAAGGACCAAGGGGAACTAGAACTGCAGAGACAGGGGGATGAGGCTGGAATTCATGGAATGTTATAAAATGTTCCATTTAAAAGAAAATTTTCTGGAAAGAATTGTTGATCTTAATTGCTAGTGTCATTGTCATGTCAGTGTCAACTTGGGTGTTACAGCTCTCTTACACAGATTGTTCCTGATCTAAAACAAACGTGGCTGATTCCTGTTGGAGCAGTCGACTTCTAAGTCAGGCTTAGGGTCCTGGAGGAATAAGATTTAGCCACAAGTCAGGCTTTTTATTTCCCCACAAGACCCAGTGACCTGGAAGATGTGTCAAGAGTGAGTGCAATCTTAGGTGTGTTGCAGCTGGAGTGTAAAAACCAGAGCAATGGTGAAGTTTTTCCCAGGTAGGCAGTTTTTCTTGGTGATCTAATAACACAGATACTACAGCTGAGCACTTTTCAGATTCTTTCACATACTTTTATTAAGTTGATGTTGCATTCACTGATGAATTCAAGTGCCAAGTCCATTCATATCACTTTGGAAAAGAGGCTTAAAATGGTACTTTTTTATTAAACATGAATTATACTTCAGTGAAGTATGAACAGGTCTGAACACTGATGTACAAAATCTTGAATGCACTTCCATTGCTTATAAATGGCTTAAGAGAACTTTATGGAAAAGTATACATATGGGGAAATTGCAAATACAATTAAAACATGAAGGAACTTCCAGGCAAAGCAATGTGATTTTGTATTTATTCATTTATAAAAGCCCGTTTCAAAAAGTTACTTCAAGTATTAAACTATAAATGGCAACGTTTTCTCTGTGCATAGGATGAGTCCTATCTGTAACATACAAAAAAATACAATAAGTGCATCATTGTTACAGGTATCTTTTACACGTAGTCCCAAACTTAAATACAGCTCATTCCAAGTTTAGGCAGCACAATTAAAAATAACTTTGTGGAAGTAGAATAGCTGGGACATTGTGATTAGTGCAAATGTTGATGACCTTGCTGGCAAATACAAAAAGAATGCAGAGATAAGAGGGATGTTTCATTCATCTAAGTTAAAAATGGAACAGATTTAACAGGAGGAATGCTGCCTCTCTCTGGGATAGCTTCATGATTGTAAATCATCATTCAGGAAGATTTAAGTTTCCCACAATAAAGCTGATAACAGGATAAGGGACAGGAGGAATCACAGAGGACCATGCTAAGCGTCTTTAAGTTGTCAGCTAAGCAGTGTAAACGGAAGGGAATCAGCATGTCACTCCCAATGCTTTGGTGACAAAGTAATACAAATTCTTCATCTCTGACACATCTGCTTGACTGCTGAGCATGAGCTCTCTGTTTCTCAGGACAGGGGGTAGGAAGAAAGATGGGGAAAACTCCCAAAACCAAAGAAATGTCCTGTAAACATTATCAGACTTCACTACCTCATGGAAACAAATTCAAGTAATGGCTTCAGAAAACAAATGGCCAAACACCGGTTTTAATCCGCATTAAAACAAACTACTTGTAGTTTCATGACGTTTCACAACAGTTACATAATTAAGAAAAATGTGTATAAAAAGCTCTATATACAAAATAAATTGATAGAAATAAGTGTAACAAATGTGTTCAGTACTAAATCCCTTCATGTGCAGCTGCTCTCTTTGGTGCCACTTAGGGATAGAAAGAAGAGCCTCTGAAGTGCACATTGCTGTTTTTTAGGTACTGTGAAAAGACATGTTTGTGAACTAAAAGTAACTGCTCTTTGGAACCTCTCTAAATGCACATCCAAATCCTCCAGTCAGACACAATTTTAGAGGGTGTCCTTGGAGAACATACACTATGAAACTCAAAGCTGTCGTGGTTTTGTTGTTATTTAACTGTTAAATAAAAATCTGGTCAGTCAGTGCTCCAGATCCAGGCAGATTTGGTCAATCTGTGTCGGAGCCAGCACATCTTGGTAAATCTGCCAGACATTAATACTGCTGCAAACGCTGCAGTTTTCCTCCTCTTGGGGCTCTGCTTAGCTACAACTGGACCATACTCCAGTTAGATCATGAAGTCTTTGTGTGCATACTCAGTGGTATTGAAATTCGTCCCAACCCAAAAGATGATTTATAATTAATAAAGAAGAACCACACAAGACCAAAGGAAAGAAACAGTACCTGAAAACTGTGAGTATTCAGCACTCTGGAGAACAGGACCAGTTTGTAAGAACAGCATACCAAAAGTAGCTTGGTACTTGTAAATTCCACACTCAAGAGGCAGCTTTAACAAAAATATTACCATGATTTCTACTTAAATCACTAAAAATAGAAGTACCCAAACTTCCTCTAAAGTAACCGTCAGATTATTTAAAATGGAGGTTTTTAATCACATCTGACTTATATCAATACAGTCTCAATACTGTAGGAAGTCAATTAATATCAAGTCAATTAATACTCCTCTTCCTGCCCTCCTCCCATAATACGCCTTTGGTAGGCACAGCAATGATGGGTGCATTGCACACTCTGTGAGTAAATAACAGTAAGAAAAAGAAAAAACAGTATTGTGTAGTTTTAAGTAATTTCTATTTGTGGATTTTCCTGCCTCATATTCACAGGGACAGGTTTTTTCAAGACATTTCAGAAAAATGAAATCCTCCCCTACATCAGGCTTCTGTTTTCACACTGCAAATTTAAAGCCATTTAAAATTTTTTTTGAGTGTATGTAGATTTTTTTTTAAAGAGAAAAGCAGAAAGAAACAAGAAAGCAGTTTCTAATCACAGCCAATGTCAACTATCCTACAATAACTACTACACATTGCTTGTAGTAGTCATTACTTTAATGGATCTAAAAGCTTAAGGGCTGCTATTTTTAATGACAACTTAGGTATTTTCAAGACTCCCTGATACAGAGTAGGCTAAAGCACAAAACCAGCATTTACAATACAGCCCAATACCCTAAACAGTTGTTTTCTCAGGATCCATCCCCCTTCTGATCTCCTGACCATGGGCCAAAAGTACCCCCTTCCTGCAACCCCTGCCTCTGCTAGCAGGGACACACGGATGGCTGCTTGCAGCCCAACAGCCCAAGAACCATCCTGCTCCCTCATGGACTTCTGGCACAGCACAGCCCAGGGAGCACTCAGGACAGAATCCAAAGGCAGAGGATGTCATCCTGTGTCATACCTGGCAGAGCACTCAGGACAGAATCCAAAGGCAGAGGATGTCATACCTGGCTGCCTTAGCCATGGTACCTCCCCCAAAGCCCAGGCCTGCCAGGAGAACCTAACCCCTCCATCCCACTGGCTGGCATGCCCTTAGAATTCAGCAGTACAATTCCCTTAGAGAACTTAATTCCTTTAAATCAGTCTGGGGTTTCTCTTAGTCCCCAGTCCCCCAGGCGAAAAAACCAAAAGGAGTTGGGGGTGGTGAATGTGGGAGAATCATCTTTCAATCATTTTACTACATTTTGTATTTGTAAAAGTGACTTTCAGTAATACCTGCTTTTACACCAACAGTAACTCTGGCCTCAGGATTATCCTAAACCCACTGCTCTCCTTTTCTTACCTCAAATATGAAGAAAACTCTAGGACAAAATATTCCTGTGATCTGCATAAATATGTTAGAATTGTGAGTTCTTAATGAAAAACCACAAAAATGTCCATCAGATATACAAAGAAGTGGTTTTAGAAGAGCAGCACTTGCTAGAAAATGCATATGGAGATAGCACAGTCTGTTTACTTGCAGTTTTTCCTGTAGATTCACTATCCTGACTAAAGAAATCAAACAAGTTCTGATGTTGGCCTACAGGATACATACATTCACGGGGGTGGGGGGGGGGGGCATATGAAGCACTTTGGGGAGCAGGTGGGGGGAGTAAAGACCATATTGCTGAGTTCAGTGATACTTAGGATTCTGACATACATTTTGCTTATACTTCTGCTAGATGATGTCTGTGCATGGATGTATTATTTCAGCTATAATACATGGATGCAGTAAAAGCCAGATGAATCCCAGGCCCTCCATGACAGTTCCACCAGTGTTTGGGGCTGCAAATTATGGTATTCAGAACAAGCCATTTAAACACGCAGTCTTCCTTCCCTCTTATCTTCCCCAAGAAATTTTGCTGGTGTGAGACTGCTGAGAGCTTCTGTTAAGATGGCCACTTCTCACTTAACACTTGAGAAGAAAAAGCTAAACCTTTCAGATCAATGTGTAGCAAATGCTTTTGTAAGTTTTGGAATTAGCAAATGCAAAATTTCTTGTACAAAGTTTGAAGAAACATCCTGCAACTTTTATAAAACATGCAAGTTTGGACCATTGTTTCTGTCTCAAGAATATCCAACAGTGAAATCATAAGTTCTCAAAGAGTTCTTGTTCCAGAAGATTAATATTTAAGAAAAATTTATTATATCCAAAGACAAAAAATACTTATTTTAAACCTTACAGTATACTTGATACCTTAGTATTTCCATCATAAACAAATTTAACTCAAGTAGCAATCAGTCTGGGAGACAAACCAAACAGGTTCTTTTGGACTAGATCATCAATTTGACTACTACCTTCAGTCTGTATGAAAAGGGCTCATGTCTATTTGTAATCAGCAGCAGCTGAACATCAGAAATCTTACAGACAGAAAAATAGTATTTGCCACTTTTTCCAGGTGCAAAATTGCAATACCACCCAAAGATGAGTTAGCAGTCTTCTC